TAACTGCATTTTGTTGAATTGCTAACATAACAGTGGAGTGACTTAATCAGCATAACAGACCAATGCTGAGCTCTTGGAGTCCTCCTCTGCCTCTTGTATCTTATCAGTATATACCCATAAAAGTAAAACAATGTTTTAAGTAAAACAATGTTTTAATAAAATAAAATAAAATAAAATAAGAGCACCACAATATAACACCTGTTCATTATTTATTTCATTTTTGTGATCCAATGGCAAGACTGTCTTAGTGATTCAAATCATTCAAATTTTAAAACTTATAAAGTAAGTTATCTATACCAAAAAATTAATATTGGAGATGAACTTTTTAACATTGACATATAATTTTGACATTTAAAATTGGAGATGAACTTTCTTCTTCTTGTTTTCTTTTCTTTTTTTTTTTTCATTTTTCATTTTGTTCTTTTCCACTCTAGAAGATCTATTATCTAAAGTCTACAGTCTAACGGCAATGCTATGGTCTCAGGATAAAAAACTTTAGAAAATTGGGTAAATTAAAAACACACCCTCCTGAAATTTACTTAAATTACAAATTATCTCATGTGATTCTAAAAATTACATTATGTCCCTTAAGGTTTCTAATTTCATAACAAATATGTCTTTTTAGTAATAAATCATCAAGTTAATTACTTGTTTTTAATAACGTTAAAATTTTATTTTAATTAATAATTCAGATAATTTTATTATTGTATAGGTGCAAAGTTAGAAATTTTATTTTTTTAATTAATTCTATTAAATAAAAAATTCTAAGAGAAAGGTATTTATAATTTTTTAAATTATAAAAATAATTTATATTTTAAACAAATTTTAAAAGGTGTATTTGTAATTTATCCTAAAAAATTCTAGCTTTCCATATACACCATGAATATAAAAATTTGGATAAATTTTTGATTTTTTATCTGGATATACCCAGTCAAAGTCTAAAGTCTGACAAGTACATGACATTGTACTTCCTCAAAGTCTTCCTTCTCAAAGTCTAAAGTCTAGATTTTTATTTATTTATGAACGAATTATATAATAATTCCCATAATTTAGAATTTATGTCACTTTGACCTGATTTTTCAATTGTAATATATTAATCTTAAATTTTGAATTTTATTTTAAATAAAAACAATTGAAAGTCGTTAATTAATAAAATATAATCGAGTTTGACAAAAATAATATCAAAAAGTTATTTTTAAATTTTTAAAAATTATTTCTATTCAACAAAGATAAAGTCATATAAAAATGATAAATATTTTGCATTTTTATTATTTTATTTTGTTACCAAATTAATTTTTAGTATGTATTTTGATAACATCAAAATTATCGCTATATTTGACTTTTGAAAAAAAAAAGAAGAAAGAAATTAATTTTATGAAAATAAATATCAAAAAAATTGTTTTAAAAAATAATTTCTACCCTCCCAAAAAATAAAATTATATAAAAATAATGTGTTTTTAAGTTTTTTCACTAATTTAATTTTTAGTTTCTTAAAAAAATTTCTAAAAATAAATTCTGTAAACCAAACCAAATAAAACTTTATAACTAAGAAAGTTCTAACAATATTCATTAAAAAAAAGGGCCATTACATTTCAAATAACATATAAGCTAACCAACACAAAAAAATATTTTTCCTAAATGTTTGTAACACACAAAAACTCCTGAGTGTATTTTTGCTAAACATAACACTCCAATGTAACACATTAATAAACCACTTAATATACTTTTTCAAACGTAACAACGTAACATTCTAAAAAAACCCTTTACTGTATTTTTTTCAAACGCAACACTCCAATCAATGTAACACACAAAAACTTGTTTACTTTTTTCAAATGTGGTACTCTAATGTAACAATCCAATGTAATATTAGAAAATCACACTAATAGAAATATAGATTTCCACACTCGACAACCAATACTTCAGCCATTAATCCTCCCAAAAAGAATCTTTTGCATCTCATCTTTCCATTCACATCCCAAAAATAAATTAAAAAATTAAAAAAATAAATTACAAAAGGGCAACTCAAATAATACCAAATCAAATAAATACAACTTTTTAAAAAAAAATTAAAAAAATTAATTAATTTATAAAAAAAATTTAGAACTAATATTCTCCAATATTGGATTTATAGGTAAATTTTCTTTAATTCTTTGTGAATTTTTTCCTGATTAGAAACTTCGAAAAATTGAAGTATGACCATCAACTTCTCTGATCTTTTATTGAAGGGCAAATTACAAACACCCCCCTCGAGGTTTGGTGAAAATACAGATTCCCTCCTGAGGTTTGAGAAATTACATCCCGCTCCCTGAGGTTTATATTTCCATAACAAATTACCCCCTGAGGTTTTTATTTTCATACAGATTCCCCCCTAATTTGTTATGCAAATTTGACCTCCAGGGGGCAATTTGTAATTTCTCAAACCTCAGGGGGGAATTTGTATTTTCACCATACCTCGAGGGGGATGTTTGTAATTTGCCCTTTATTGAATAACTAACCCAGCTAACCCTTCTTAGATTTTAAGCCCTTTGCTCATTCAAATATGGATCCTCTATGCTTCGTAAAGATATCAGATAGAGAATCTCGCAAAACACAGCTCTCATAATTATCAAAATGATCTGAACCATTTATGTCACTATCAGACACAACTCTAAAAAAAAATTCAAACACATCAATAGTTAACACTGCTGGAAAATTTACTTTTAGCGGCATTTAAAAAACGCCGCTAAAAGTACGAAAAACGTCGCTAATTCTTTTTATGACGTTTAGTACCAAACGCCGATGACGCGGCCGTCGCTATAACTTTATGACGTTTGAAAAACGTCGTTATATTAGTATAGGCGGCGTTTTTTAAAACGCCGCCAAATGTCCTACTAAACGTAGTATGACGTCACTATGACATTTAGCGACGTTTTTAAAAACGCCGTCATAAACATTTATACATTTTTAAAATCTAGCCGTTGAGGTGGGATTAGTGACGTTTTTTAAACGCCGCCATAGCCCTTTTTTAATTTTACATGATTGAACAAACCTGTCAAACTAATAATTAATGTTTATTAAAATAATAAACTAAACTTGAAAACAAAATTAAAAATACCTTTTTTTATTTCATAATTTAATTAATATAAAATATGCTGTTGAGCTGTTTATTTATTCACATTCCAATTTGTACAAAACCATAAAGCACGTCGACATAGCAAAAAAAATCAAAATAACCTGCAAATTCCTCTTACATCTGGATATTTTACTAAATACAAAATAAAAAAATTCTAACAAGATTTCAATTTTGGGTCTGCTGAAAAAAAAAAAAAAAAAAAAAGTTACAAATTCCTCTTACATCTTGAATCAGATCTTTCCCTCGGCAAAATTATCCTTTTGACCTACAGATAAATAAATAATTGTTGCAAATTATAATCTTTTTAAAGAAAATCTAGAACAAAGCAATAAATTGTATCAAAAGCATGAACAAAGCAATAAATAATTGTTGCAAATTATAATCTTTTTAAAGAAAATCTAGAACAAAGCAATAAATTGTATCAAAAGCATGAACAAAGCAATAAATAATTGTTGCAAATTATAATCTTTTTAAAGAAAATCTAGAACAAAGCAATAAATTGTATCAAAAGCATGAACAAAGCAATAAATAATTGTTGCAAATTATAATCTTTTTAAAGAAAATCTAGAACAAAGCAATAAATTGTATCAAAAGCATGAACAAAGCAATAAATAATTGTTGCAAATTATAATCTTTTTAAAGAAAATCTAGAACAAAGCAATAAATTGTATCAAAAGCATGAACAAAGCAATAAATAATTGTTGCAAATTATAATCTTTTTAAAGAAAATCTAGAACAAAGCAATAAATTGTATCAAAAGCATGAACAAAGCAATAAATAATTGTTGCAAATTATAATCTTTTTAAAGAAAATCTAGAACAAAGCAATAAATTGTATCAAAAGCATGAACAAAGCAATAAATAATTGTTGCAAATTATAATCTTTTTAAAGAAAATCTAGAACAAAGCAATAAATTGTATCAAAAGCATGAACAAAGCAATAAATAATTGTTGCAAATTATAATCTTTTTAAAGAAAATCTAGAACAAAGCAATAAATTGTATCAAAAGCATGAACAAAGCAATAAATAATTGTTGCAAATTATAATCTTTTTAAAGAAAATCTAGAACAAAGCAATAAATTGTATCAAAAGCATGAACAAAGCAATAAATAATTGTTGCAAATTATAATCTTTTTAAAGAAAATCTAGAACAAAGCAATAAATTGTATCAAAAGCATGAACAAAGCAATAAATAATTGTTGCAAATTATAATCTTTTTAAAGAAAATCTAGAACAAAGCAATAAATTGTATCAAAAGCATGAACAAAGCAATAAATAATTGTTGCAAATTATAATCTTTTTAAAGAAAATCTAGAACAAAGCAATAAATTGTATCAAAAGCATGAACAAAGCAATAAATAATTGTTGCAAATTATAATCTTTTTAAAGAAAATCTAGAACAAAGCAATAAATTGTATCAAAAGCATGAACAAAGCAATAAATAATTGTTGCAAATTATAATCTTTTTAAAGAAAATCTAGAACAAAGCAAATATCTTCTTCTAAAAATCAACCCACAAAAAACTTAAATTAAAATAAATTATTTTCTTCTTTAGACATAAAAGCTTGGCAATATTTATTCCCAATTGTCATTTCTTATTATTATGTAAGAATGATAGTGTGAAACTATGTTACCATTAAAAATATGAAGGCAAACATTTGATTAAAACGGAACAAAAGCATCAATTCTTGAAACAATAAGTTCTAACAAGACTTTAAAGTAAACATCAACCTTGGAAGATACTCTGTCAATATAGAAAGATTTGGTGGATGAGTGACTGCTCACATGAAAAGAACAACATTAGGATGTCTCAACCTCAACATGATTTCAACCTGCACAAAGCAAACAAGCAGTCGTCTAGTTCAATTCTTAAAAAGACAACCACTTGGATATATCTTGGTCCATGAACTTCTTCACAGCAACTTCCTGTCATGGAATCACATTTTACACCAGATAGAGAGTCGTAAACTATAATTTCTGTAAGCAACTATTGATAAAAGGTTCGATCAAATTCACTAATGCATCTAAAATATAACTTACAGTGCCATTCCAAGCAAAACAGATCCTTCACTTGTAGCATCAGAAATTAATGGATGTGTCGTATTAATGACTGTAGAACCCAACTCCAGTCGTTCTGCCGTCAAATCCTCAACAGAGTGCTTTTGTTTGCTGTCATAATGAGCACCATTAAAGGACTCCACTCCAGTTGAGGGTATAATCAACAGTTTATTGTTTAACAAGAATATATCTGGATAATCTTGAGTCCCATCACCCACTTTTTCCCCATTTAACAGACGTATTTTTTCATGCATTTCCATTTCTCTGAGATCACGAGGATTCATATCCAGAAGAAAATCGGGAGGTTGTGATGCACCACTCTCCAACAAAACTGCATGAAGTTTCTGAGCAAATTGTGGGTTTTTTGCTGCACTGATGACGTACTTGGAAACATCTTTAACTTTCATCTTTTGTGCTTGTGACCCCTTCCCACTAGTGCCTGACAATTCTGCACGTGATCTACATAGTGCAGGAAGAAGCTTCCCAAACTCATTCTCAAACATCTGGGTTTGATTTTCTTTATCAAGATCAGGTGAAACTGCCACCGTCCCAGTTCCTTCTTCAAGCATCGGACAGAAATTGTTGATAGTTTCAGCATAATCTGCACTGCTCCTCGTATCTAACCCAGAATTTTGAAGATGATCACTGGGAACCTCAGCAGATCACAAACCTGTAGAGACAACAATAAATTAGAGAAGTTTCAAAAAAACATCCTTAAGCATGAAAAAGTCTAGATCTGTTCAAATCAATAATCAGCCATATCATTACCAAGTGTTCTGTTCAAAACATTTAAAGCCATAACAATTCTTTCTGTAAGACACTGAAAACAAATTGAAGGAAAGATGAAAGATGAAAGAGCAAAAAACACACAGCATTCACCTTGAAGATCAACTCCATTTCTAAATAAAAATCCAGCTACTAAAATATATACTACCACTGTCCCATTTTTTTCTAAAATCAAGTGCAATTTTATGATTGGTCTAATTTACAATTTTATTGAGATTTGAGCTGAGGAACTGAAAATAATAAAAAGTAATGGTTAGTTAAGAAACAAAATCACATTATTGGAAATACAATGTCCAAGAACTCAAACAAATATGCCTAAATACTAACTTCCAGGTCTCCCAGCATATCTGGTAAGCTAATTCTCTCGTATGACACATGACAAGAGCAGCAACTTGTCCTGCAACAGGTTCAATCTGCTGCAGAGTAAAAAGAACAAACACAGCAGTTTTCCCCATCCCTGACTTTGCTTGACAGATGACATCCATTCCTAAAATAGCTTGAGGTATGCACTCATGTTGCACTGGTGAAGAAGGAAACAAAATCGGAGCGGATAAATCCTCAATAAGTATAAATGATCTTCCAGATCCTTTTAATGGAAAGGTTTAGCAAACCAGTTTTCTGGCCCAAATCATGAGTATGGAAGTAGCGTTTTTTTACCTGAAAAATATAAAATACTTCAAGTTAAAAAAAAAAGTATAGTATGCACCAGCATGAAACTGAGTAGAGTGACAGGCTGAACTATAATTCTGAAACATCATACAAAAAGTCTCCAAATATGCTGGGTACCAAGATGTCCCACTTGCTACAAAAAGCTTAACAAGCCATCTGTCATCGCATGAACAAAAGAAAAAACTAGCAAAATAAGTTTCAAGCCACTAAAACAAAAGCAAATAAATATAAATTGGTGAAATAGAATTGAAAAAACCAGCTTCAAAAGGTTTCCAAATTACGTATTTTGTAGAATAATGTCAAAAGTAAAGCATGCTCACAGGTAGAAAGCAGCTAAGTGGTGTACACGCAAGAATTCTACAATATCTTATACACAAACAGAAATTGATTCAAAATCAGCAGCATAACTCAGATAGCTTAAAAGTTCTTTTTCTTAATGTTGGACAATGAACTTTTACATTCAATAGATGATGGCATAATCAGACGTACATTACGAACTTACAATTCTTGTCATCCACAAATTTCCATGTCAGGCTCTGTAAAAAGAGCAGCAAATGATTGCAGCATTTTCCAACTTAAGATATATGACCCCACCTAACACTAATTATAGACTCGACAAGGCAACAAATGAATTAGGCAGTATGAGTCTGCATATGAGGAGCATAAAGTTTTGAAGACCTTACTCGAATGAAATCGGTGAGGATGCATGAAGGCAGGATCTTGGGCGGCTTGTAAAACGTGAGCTCGACTAACTCCCTCATCTTGTCAGGGGTCTGCGGCAACAATATGGTAGCAGCCTCATCTATACTCTTGACTATTAGTAAAAGTCTAAACAATCTAAAATAGATTCTTAAAATAAAAAATAAAGAACTCAGATAAACTCTATCAAACATAGACATACATGTGACGACGTCGGTCCATGAAGGTCCCAGGGTGGTCTGAGTAAGCACAGGAGATGAAGGAGATGGTTTCGCCGAGAAAAGGCCATCCAAGAGTGTCTAAAGGAAGTGGGATTGGCGATATTCTACAACTCCTCCTCTTCTACAATTTGAGTACCTGTTGCAACTGTGATTAAAGCAGTGTAAAGCAGCCCAATAATGAGCAAGCATAAAAAAAATCATACTGCATGTTCCACCCCTTACTAACTAATCTGACAAACTTAAACTCTCAAAACCTGATCCTCCATGCGATTACTGGAAATTCCTAGGAAAATAGTAAATTAAATTTTAACTCTTAACTCCTACAATTCATGTTCTTTTTGTTTCAACAAGCAAAAAAACTCCATGATTTAAAAAATAATAATAAAATAATTTCAAATCAGCCAAAACTTGTTGGCTGCTAGATTCTTGGCTATTTGGGAGCCAAAATCGTGAGAAACCTAACATCATATTTTAATAAATTTGTATCATTGTCATTGGCTCAAATATAAGGACTGGAAGTGTCACCATCGATGTCACATCCGACCCTATATACTTGTGCATCATCTTCCAATAACTATCCTTTTCCTTCGAGAAAATAATGATTTCAGCATGCATAAAATAAAGAAATTTCAATGTAGGTGACTTTCAATAGCATGGCAACCTAAGATATACACAAGCAATCAAAAGAAAGAGAAAGTTCTTATGGAGACCATTGCCTCCTCTCTAATTGCAAATATGAGACTAGATATCTAACAAGGCAAATCCTCATACTGACAAAAAAATTGAACTTGCAATTATTCCACTACACACTGACAAAACAGTACAGTAAATTACCAAACTGGGATACCTGCGATCCCAGATACAGAGGATTATATATATGCTATTATAGTTGATATAGGTTGAAGTAATTTTTCCAGAACAAGACTTGTTTGTCAGGACTGTAAACTCATGCTGTGGTGATGTTATAAAGCAACAAGCAATTCTACATTTAAGACAAATATACAAACCAGCTTACTTGCGGGCCAATATTTAATCTTCACAAGGCTTTTTATATATATATAACGTTCTTTCTAAAATTTTGATAATGTAAAAATACTTTCAGTAAAAAAGCTTCACATCTTGAGAGAAAGAGAATAACACACAACTCACCTCCTGCTTCCATCTTCCTCTCTGAGCTTCCTCTTCAGCATCATCTTTGCCTCCCTCAGGATTAATTACTTCCATCCCCTCATAACCAAGCATTCTGGATGCAAGAAGAAAAAAATAGGCATTCATTGAATCATTACAGACTAAGATTCTTGATACAAAACATCAATTGCTTAATAACCTACATGACGAAGATTATAATGATGTCCCACATAGATTTCCATACAAAGAGATAAGACTTCAAATGCACATGACATTCAAACCACCAATAACAGCCTCGTGTGAGTTACTAACAAGTTTACATGATGAAATAAAATTTTGAATGGTGTTGATCAAGTCTCCAAAAGTGAGCATATGACGCATAAAGAATCAATTTATTGTATTATGATGAAATGCAGGAAGAAAAAGCTGTATCCTTCATCTTCCCCCTTATACGGGCAGCAGAAAAAGATAAATGACCAACTGGAGCTATCAATTCACTATTTTTCTCCTTTTTACATGTCGTTAGGCTTCTTTAGTACACTTTTGCTGAAGTATGAGATCATTAAGCATTTTCTAAATCAATTAACAATATATAACCCGCATAAGACACACAAGAAGTTTTGGTTCTCTCAAATAATGTTCTATTTTTTGAAATATTTCCTTCTGTTTCACATTCCAATTTTGTAATATTCTTATTTTCATTTCAATGATGTTTCTGCTAATTTTTTCAATGGCAACTATAAAGAAAATGGAATAATAATAATCAAAACTCTACTAAAAATGTTAATCAAGGAAAGCCCTTTCAAGTGGATCGGCATATTATACATGTAATAAAGACCACTAGTTTTGGCCAAGAAAATGTGTCATATACTAACCAAATTGAATGGATGATAACTCTAAAATATCACATTTATCAATTTCTTTTTCAGAATAGTTGCAAGTACTAACATGATCAACAGCTCGTAAGATCTCCTAGGTTCCTTCTATCAAATGTTAGAAGACAGGACAGTAATTATGTGATTTCAGAATAACTTGAATCTCAAATGAATGAATGCTAGAACTGAAATAACAGCAAAATCAAGCGCATGAAAAAAGAAAACAATCCAGATTTATATTCTTTAATATTTTTTTCCCAGTTTTCTCAGCAACCAAACAAAGATAAGGCAATGAAACAGATCATATACAACTCATTGGTGAAAAACAATTACTGAAACAGAGCACATACAACTCATCAATCACTGAGAGAGAGAGAGAGAGAGAGACGGGAAGGAGGAGCTTCAGAGAGAGAGAGAGACAGTGGAGCTCACCTTAGTAGACGATGGTGCAGATGGTGGAGACCGATCTGAATCTCTGCGATGAAATCACTGAGATGAAATCGCTCTGAATCTCTGTGATGAAATCATTGAGATGAATCTCTGAATCGCTCTGATAAGGGTTTAGAGAGGGTTGAGAGAGATAGAGAGAAAGAGAGACAGTGGAGCTCACCTTCGTTGGTTCTCGCTACCTCGCTCTAAGAATGAACAAGCGGTGGAGCTTCGAAATCGCTCTGAGATTTATTAGAGAGAGAGAGAGCGCTCCAGATTTGGGTCTTAGCTGAGTCTTAGATTCAAAATTAGGGTTTGAAAAGAGGGGGACACCAAGCGTGTGAGGCACAACACATTTGAAGGCGTTTTTCATATTATAAAACGGCATCGTTTTGTTAAATAAATAGGCGACGTTTTATAAACGTCGTTAAATATTAAAAAAGTGACGTTTTAAAATGCGTCGTTAAAAAAACGCCGCCTAAACCCTTTTTTCCTGTAGTGTAATACATTAATAGGGGTCATCAGGGTCCTCCTTTATAGAGATCCCAAACATTTTTCTAAAGATATTTAACCTGTTTGGCACTCTCTAAGTTGGACCTATCTTACATACTAGAAAAATATATATATCGGTGCAAGGCATGAGACACTATTATAATAAATTTATCTTTCACAAATATAATAATTTTTATAGAAAATTTAAATTTCACAACTATAATACTTTTAGTTTTATTGAAGATAGTATTTACTTTATTACAAAATAGATAACATCATTTTATAAAATATAAAATTACAATTTTGTCAATTTAAACTCTTTTTTTATTATTTATTTTTAATATAAACCATTTGTCTATTTTTGTTATGTAAAACAGACGGAAAAAAAAAATATTTTAGTCATTAAACTCAATGTAAGCATATAAAAAAATATGTAAAATACTATTTTTATCGAGTTTAATGATTAAAATACTTTTATTTTCGTCAATTTTAGTTTTTTTTTTTTTTTTTATCAGCAAAAAGAAACTTTATTGATGAAAAAAACATACATTTCATATGAGAATATATCAATAAAGAGGTGGAAGTGTAAGGAGCATCAAAGCGACACTGCCCCAATCTCAACTAGGTTGACACTAATGAGAGCGCTCAATCATCTGCTAGCACAACCCCCAAAGATTGGCGAAAAAAAAAAAAAAATATTCATATCAGGGGATCAACCCCGATCACACTTTCACATCAAAAAAAAAAAAAAAAAAAAAAAAACCCCAAAAAAAAAAAAAAAAACCACCACCACCCAACAACCTTACAGCCAACCCACTACATACCACAACCTACACTACTTCATGCTGCAAACCAAAACTAGCCTATATGCACTAGCTGCAGGTTGGACACAGACAAATACAGAAAACAGATCAAGGAAAGACAAGAAAGATCAGTACCACAATACCAGCCAAAACAAGAAAACAACACACCACTCTTCAAGGTCCACCCCTCACAGCCCATCACCCATGATTTAGCTAGACAGTAACCTCAGCCAAGGCAGACTATAACCTGTTGAAAATGATGAACAGTCTCATTGACTGAGTATACCACAGCTGGGCAAGAGGATTTGATCCACAATGCAATCCTCACCTTGATGGAATCACACAAACTTTCAACATCAGCCTGAGCACTATTGAAAAGACAGTCATTAATTTCTCTGCTTCTATATGGACCAGAGCACAGTTAGAGGAACAACATTCCAGATTAACTTCAACTACTTTGATAATTTCCAACCAGGCCACCAATTAAGTAGGCTACTCACAGACCCAGGTGTTGCCCAAAGAATACCCCACCATTTGATAGTATTAGACCAGATCCTCCAGGTAAAGGGATAAAGCAACAGCACATGGTTACCACTTTCCACCTCCCCATTACAAAAAAAATACAATTCACAGTTGATCCAGCATTTAGAACACCAATTTTTTGCAGATAGCTAGAAGACTTGACTCTCCCTTTCCATGCTAACTAACCAAAAAATTGAACCTTGGGAGGAGATACATTCTTCCAAATGAACTCAACAGTCTTGCTATTAGCTCCGTGACACAATTGACTCCATCTATAAGCTGATGCAATCGAGAAAGACATTGAGGTATCTGCAATCCATCTCAATATATCCATCCTACCTTCCCTGAGAGCCGGAGCATTAAGTAACATTGTAGTCATTCTCCTCAACTCCTCCACCTCCCGCTGAAATAGAGACCTTTTGAAATTCAAATTCCACTCCTCAGCACCAGTTCTTCTACTATACACCAAGTCCACAGATTCAACATTTCCCACTATTACAGAATATAATCTAGGGAATACATCTTTCAAACAAACATTTCCAACCCATTTATCCTTCCAGAAAAGTGTTCTCTTTCCATCTCCAATAACAAGGGCTATGTTATTTTTAAAAAACTCCACCAGATTAGGCCTACCCGAAGCAAGCCCCAATATATCTTTCTAGATCAAAGAGCACCTGAGATGTTCTACAGGTTCAGGCCACTATCCTCTCCCAACCTCATTATACTTGCTGCATATCACCTGCTTCCATAGGGTTTTTTCTTCATGCCCAAACCTCTACCACCATTTTAAGAGAAGACAATCATTCATAAGTTTGATCCTTTTAACTCCTAAGCGTCCTTGACTTTTACTTTTTGAAATCTCCTCCCAGTTTACCAAATGAATCTTTCTTATAAGTTCATTACCTCCTCATAAGAATCTAGACTGAACTCTGTCAATTTCTTTTGCAACCCCTTCTAGCATCCTGAACAAAGATAAATAGTAGATTGGTAAAATAGAAAGCACTGACTTTATCAGTGTTAATCTCCTTACAAAGGATAAAAACCTCCTCTTCGAAGAAGCTAGCTTTTGTTTACACTTATCAATCACAGGTTGGCAGAACCTTCTTCTCCTTGGACAATCCCTCAATGACATCCCTAAGTATTTTAAAGGCAGATTTTGATGTAAGAAGTTCAGTTTGTCAGCAAATCCTTTAGTGAGGTCCTCACTAATGCCAATCCCATACACCACACTCTTATGGTAATTAAATTTCAGCCTTGAAAGCATTTCAAAACATCTCAGAATCCTCTATACATTCCCAATCTTTTCTTATTCTCCCTCACAAAAAAATATTGTATCATCTGCAAATTGAAGATGGGTGATCACAAGATCATTTGAGTCAACCATAGCCCCTCTAATCAATCCCAACTGTAGAGCTCTACCCAAAAGAATATTCAGACCTTCAGCTACAACATTGAAAAGAAATGGTGATAATGGATCACCTTTTCTAAGACCCCTTTGAGGAATGAACTTAGATGTTGGTGATCCATTGACTAATACAGAAACTCTGGCTGAATGCACACATTCTCTCATCCAACTGATCCATTTGGCACCAAACCCAAAATTTGCAAGCATAGAAAAGAGGGACTCCCAGTTAATTGAATCATAGGCTTTCTCAAAGTCAAGTTTTAATACAATGCCTTTCCTATGCTTCTTCTTCCAACCATCAACTATTTCATTTGCAATCAACGCACCATCCAAAATACTTCTACCCCCAATAAAGGCTGATTGAGAATCACTAATGATCTTTGGCGTTACATTCTTGATCCTATTAGACAAGACCTTTGCAAGAATTTTATGCAAAGAGCCTAGGAGGCTAATAGGCCGATAATCATTAAGACAAGAAAGATTATCAAATTTTGGAATCAAAGCAACAAAGGAACTATTAATTCCATGAACCAACTTAGAGTTTTTGTGGAAATCTTTCCTGAATTGAATCACATCTCCCTTAACAATTTGCCAACATTTCTTAAATACCATCAAATTAAAACCATCCGGACTAGGTGCTTTATTACCTTCACACTGCTTCAAGGCTCTAATTATTTTCGCTTCTGAAAATTCAACTTCAAGTGCTTCCCTAACCTCTGCCCCCCCCCAAATGGATTTGTAAGGGCCAGATAAACTTGGCCTTCTTGGCCAACTTTCAGCAAAATGATTCCTAAAATGATCCAACACTGCAGCCCTTATATCCTCAGGATCTTCCAAGACAACTCCACTCACATTAATTGAACATAAGGCATTCCTATTGTTATGAGAGGTAGCCATAACATGAATTTTTTTTTTTTTTTTTTTTGTTTCTATCTCTTTTTAATGCCCAATTCACTCTGGACTTCTGCACCCAAATCCAGTCCACCATTCTACTCAATTTCCAAGCTTCCCATTTCACATCTCTTATTCTAGTAAACTCTGATTCAGATAATGAACTTTCTTCTGCTTTCAGTTCCAGAACATGTAATTCCTCCTCAAGGAGTTTGAGCTTAGATTCCATATTTCCAAACACCTCAACATTCCATTGTTTCAATGCCGGTTTAAGCGCTTTGAATTTTCTAAGACATTTGAAACCACTCCAACCCTCCACAATAGTCTCCTTCCAAACTTTTTCCACAAAGGCAAAGAAGCTAGGATGGAGGGTCCAAGCATTTATGAATTTAAATGGTTTTGGACTCCAATCCCTCTTATCTTCCATGAGCAAAATAGGGCAATGATAAGAGGCCCTTCTTGGTAGCCCCCATAGTTTGAAATTGAACTTATTCATCTACTCAGGATTGAGCAAAAATCTATCAATCCTACTCCACTTCTCATCAGCCTGAGAATTACAACATGTAAATTTCCTGCCCAACATTGTAATATCACACACTTCTAGGTTGTCAATTAGCTCATTAAACTCTCTCATACCTTTATCTCTCATAAAGCAGCCCTTCCTCTCTGATATGCACCTAATTTCATTAAAATCTCCCCCCAAACACCAAGGTTTTTCATACAATAGATTCAATCTAACCAAAGAATCCCACACTCTCCTCCTATTGGCACTATCATTTGGACCATAGATATTAACTATGACACATTCAAAACTAAAATAAAGGGTACTTGACAATATGATGAAGTTCTTAGTACAACAGCAGTCCACCAATTGAAAGACATCTAGATTCCAAATGCATAACAACCCTCTAGCTACTCCCATTGAACCTACTTCCATGAAATTCATCTTTTCACCTTGCCAAAGTGATCTAACAAACTCCTCATTAATTGATTGCTTTTTAGTTTCTTGTAATAACACTATCTCCGCTTTCCTTTCAAAAAATAGATTTTTTATTTTTCTCCTTTTAGCAAGCTTACCTAGCCCTCTTACATTCCAGGATAATAACTTCATTGAGGAAATAGATACAAACACCAACCCATCTTGAGATACAATTCAATCTACTCCTCCATCTCTCATCTTCATCTTCTCCTTATCCTTTGCTTCTAGCTCTATTAGTTTGCTTATCACTTCCTCCTCATTTTTGTCATAATTTAGCCCTAGAGCATGGCCAATTTGAAGTGTTGCTTCAGCCTCATTTAGAAGCAGTTGCTCAGAACCTGATTTGCCTGCCATTGATAGTGAGATTGCCGCAACAGTTGATCTAAAGAAAGCTCCTTTCCTCAAGTTC